GGTAAGGAACAGGAATGTGAGGATTAACATTCCGTGCGCGGAGCTCCTGTGGCACGCTGGAATTGAGGTGTCTGTGTGGATTTGGCCAATTAGGCTTTCTCTGTGTCAGCAGTTCGGCACTCCCGGGAGCGCTGGGAGACAGAACGTTCAGGGATTGAAACTCTGCCTTGCCAGAGACCTGCCAGGATCCCACAGGGACCATCTGTGTGTACAGCAAATATTTTACACACRGGACAGAGACCATGGCCACTCATCCCACCCCAGCACGGGAACCACAAAAATCTGCAGTGGCCACACAGAGGAACAAAARTCTCCCTCAGCAGCATTTGGGTGTTCCTTGATCTTCCTTGTGTTAACTAAACCCCGGGSCTTTAGCTGGGAGGAGATTATGGGACAAGTTCTGTGCCTTTGTTTATTATCGTCCACAGGGAGAGCTGCATCTTTGCCAAAAAAAAGGACAACCCAAAAAAAGCAGCAGCTTCAAGTGCTATTCCTGCAGCAATCCCCTGGCTGGGAACCAAACTTATAATTGGATCACTTGTTYGTGGTATGAGGATGTGGGTTTGCCTGCTATGACTGGCTGGGAATAGTTTTGGGGGGCACACAGATGTTTGTTACACAGAATCCCAGASTGGTTGGGGTTGGAGGGACCCTAAAGYCCATCCCACACCCTAAAGCCATGGACAGGGACATTTTCTGCAACACCATGGTCAGGTTCTCTTTTCCAGGCTGAACAATCCCAATTCCCTCAGCCTTTCCTTGTGCCCCACCCCTCAAATCACTCCTCTGGACTGGGATACACACCCACATCCATTATTTATGAGGATATTCCCCCCAAGCGTGTTTGGGTTTGTTTAACAACAAAACCTGGCATCAAAATGTTGTGAGTAAACATTTCTGATCCTGGTGTGGCGACTCCATCACCAGGGCAGAGGAGAGGAAAGAGGAAGAGAAGGGAGCAGAGGAGAATTTTCCCATCACAGAAAGAGTGACTGGAAAAAGCTGAAGGCAAACCTGCCATCGTGGCAATTGGGGGAGATTTTAATGCAGACATCCAGAGGCCAAGGAACATGAAATTGTAATTAGTGCAGAAAATAGGAGAGATGGAATCAAGCTCTATCAAGGACAGCAGCTCGGGAATGGCTGTGTCAGACGCMGGACTGATGCGCATTTTTAGACTCTTATCTAAATTAGTTATTAGAACACAATCAGCTCTGTGTCTCACCCTCTGGTGGTAATGTCCCCGAAGTTATGCTGGGGATAAATTTGTCCTGTGTGTTCAGGGCAAAGGATGGAATTGCTGTGATGTGCAGGCTCAGATCTCCTTGTGTGTTCCTCTCTCTTCAGTGAGAACAGTTCCCACTTCCCCCTGCTAAAGGCAATAACAGCCTCAAACTTATCTCTGTGGCACCACTGGAAGCGACCACGAGGACAGTTTACAGAGACAGCAAACAGTTGGGGTTACACGAGTGTAATTGAGGGCAAAATTGAGCCTGACATATCCGAGAGCCTTTTCAGAAAGCTGATATAATTCCACATGAAAATTCTCAGATCCCCGGGAAGAATGTGTGACTCTCTTTACAGCCATGTGATTTATTTTGCTGGCCTGTGGAGGAGAGGTGAGGTTCGTGTTAAATAACAAGTTTGCTCTGTTTTCAGCTCTGGCACCTTCATGTTATCTTGTCTAAATATGTGATAGCTCCGAGATGAAGCAGCTTAAAAGAATCTGCTAAGTGACCGAGTGTTTTATTAATTGCTACTGAGTAATTTGGAATTCTGCTGCTGTGTCAACTTCCTCGCTGCACAGAGCAGCAAGAAGCAGCATCAGCTGTTTATCCAAAGCACTTSTGCATAATCTTAACATTCAGTGCAAGGCCAGTGAGAGCAGCTTGATGTGACTAATACGGAGCGTGAACCTGAGAGGGCTGATGGACTGGAGCCACAGCGCGGCCAAAAGCTTCTGACAGAGCCATAAAATGTTGTACCTTGCCTCCCATTAAAGACTCTTCAAACACATTTACTGCTAAGGCTGRTAAGTGTTCACTTATTGATGAGAATGAGAGAACTCGGAGCGAACACAGAGTGAACACAGAGTGAACACCGCATGTTGGACACGGCCTGGGGAGGGACAGAGGGATGGAGGGACAGAGGGATGGGACTCACATATGGAGCAGCATAACAGTGCTCTGGGGCTGCTGCACCGGGGACTGGGCACGCTGGGGTTGGGCCTGAAACCCTGCCAGCATCCCTCCATCCCTGCCAGTGCCCCATCATCCCTGCATCCCTCACAGTGCCTTCCATCCCTTCCAGTGTCCTGCATCCCTGCCCGCACCCCTGCATCCCTGCCAGATCCCTGCATCACTGCCAG